TCATTGGTTTTGTAGTTTTTCCTACCAGTTTTACAAAACTGGTGTTTGTGAATACTTGTCAATACATAAACTTCCTTTTTATCCATCCATTTGATTACCATCCAAGAATCGGTGTGGGCAACTTCTGTTTCACCACGATCTAGCTTTGAACTAAGAGTTGGCATTCCGTTACGATTTTTTTTACAGTTCCACAAAGACCAGTATTTCTGTCATGTAAGTAGTCTGACAGTTGTGGAGATGTATACTAATTATCAGTGTATAACACACCCCCTTTGTTACAATAAGGTTGCATGAAATGTGCAACAATATCACCAGAAACGCCTAAATCAAATGTCTCATAATCAGTGTCAGAGCCAGTATATACTATAAAATCTAAGAGAAATCCTGTTTCGCAGTCCGCTTATTCAAATATCTTCATACCAAATCGGTGTCTCTTCAATGGTAAGAATTGTGTGAATTTTAGCTTCCCTTTCCATAAGACTAAACTTTCGTGAATGCAAAGTTTTTCACTAGCAATAATAGTATTACTAAACTTTTCTTTCAAATGATCTATCACTGGTTTGATTTTTTTCAAAGGATGATTGGAAACTTCTTTATTATTAGAAAAGTGAAGGTATCGTAAAATTTGAACATATCTATTTTGAGATAAACTTCCGCCATATATTGGAGTGTACAGCAGTGGATCTTGGCTCCAATAATTCTTTAGGTGCCTTTTTACAACATGTCCCATGTTTATTGATAAAGCAATCATTATCCATAATTCGTCTTCAGTAATAGGAGTCCACGGCTTCATATGTATTCGATCCGGTTCGGGATTTTGTTCTTAAAAAAGATTGGTTTGTTCTACAATCAAATTTACAAGAAATGTATTAAAAACATATTTCAAACATTCTAATAGAGTAGGTTCGTCTAGAGACACGTGATCACGAATACGTGCTTCACCAGTAAAAGTTTTTATAGATGGGTAAAAATAAGGATCATAGTGTACATCTAGTATATTCTCATCACGTTTGTAATCAAGTAAATCAACATCACAAGCAATACTTCTGTCTGTAATAACATCTTCTTCAGGCTCTGACTCTCCACTACTCCAAGCTTCGTCATCACCTGTATTCATTGTATAGCAAAAGTAATAAAAGTACGAAAAAGATAAAAAGTAACGGAAAATGTTGTATCAACACAGTAAAAAAAATAAGTGTATCTTGTTCCTGACCTAACAGAGAACGCGAGGCGACAGGTGCTCCTACGCGCCGTTCTCACGTATGGCAAGGACGGACGACAATAAACGGGCAGGCCTAATCAATAAATATATTTTTGATCTGCTATTCACAATTTTGCCAAATTGTTTTACTAGTAAATAGCAACTTCAAAAACCCCAAATGAAAATAAATTTGTTTATAATTGCAGCCGCACGCAAATCAAGCCATGTATTTGTTTTAGAATATCTCACATGAAAATTATGGGTACGGGGTGAGTGGGGGAGGGACGGGCAAATTGACATCAAATAATATTAAAATTTGCTAATAATATTAAGAATATTAATATTTAATTAAAAAAAAGAAATTGAACAAGTTATTCTGGTGCGCCAAAATATTGGTTTTCCGGCCCTTTAAAGGTTAAGCTCGCTCACGTGGTTGGTGATTGTGAGGGAACGTATAATTGGAGGCAAAAATGGTTTGTCAATGTCACAGAAAGTGACATTCCGGACACGATGCGCAATCTTTTCTCTTTGGGCGAGAGGTTTAGCTTGCCTTCTCAGTGTCTTAAGAGACAGATGTTTCTTGAGATTATCAAAAATGTTGAAAATAACATCAGAAAATCTGACCAATCTTTGAAGCCTCATGTATGTTTGCTCACTTCCTCTTCGCTTGGGCGTTTCCTTGATGATTATCTGATTTTAGATAATACTGAGAGAGATATTATTAACAGTGTTAAGTGTACTAGAAATTTCATTAAAGAACATCCGAACATCCTTTTCACAAGAGCGGACAAGGGCAATGTCACCGTGGCCTTAAATAGAGACAATTACATTTCTAAATTGGAACTCTTGTTGAAAGACAGCAATTCTTATGCCATAGCTAATATCAAAAATCTTGCAAAGAGAACTGAGAGCAAGCTTAATGATTGCTTGAAGGCTTGGAAACGTGCGAATTATATAAGTTCAAGCGCTTCTTATTCATTAATATGTAATGACAAATTGTTACCTAGAGCCTATGGGCTCCCAAAAATTCATAAACAAGATGTTCCTCTTAGGATTATAGTTTCTTGCACCAACACTACACTGTTTTTGTTTGCTTCCTTTTTGCATGGCATATTAGACAAATATTTACCTAAACCTCAAAGTTTCATACAGAACACCTTTGATTTGTTCAGAAGTTTGTCGGGCAAGCGACAAACTATTAAATTTATTAAAAAATCGTATGTTTTGCTGTCCCTTGATGTCATCTCGCTGTTTACTAATATTCCTTTGGATTTAGCATTTGAGAGTGTGAGGAGGTGGAATTATATTAAGGACCATAGTAGTATACCACTTGATTCTTTTATTAAAGGTTTGGAGTTGGTTTTATTGTCAACATATTTTACTTTTAATGGTACTATTTATCATCAAACATATGGCACTCCTATGGGGTCTCCTCTCTCCGATCATGGCAGATATCGTTCTGCAAGATCTTGAAAAAGATTGCCTCAAAATTTTGAATTTAGATTTACTTTTTTATCATCGGTATGTTGACGATATTCTTATGGCCGCTCCAAGAGATAGTGTCGATGTTGTTCTCCAAACTTTTAATGCGTATCATCCTCGCCTGAATTTTACGATTGAATTGGAGGAAGATAGATCAATTAATTTCCATGATTTCTCGATCTCGGTTGTTGATGATACACTAACGCTAAATTGGTCAATCAAAAGCCCACTTTTTCTGGACGTTGTCTCTACTACTTCTCACAACAAAAAATCGGAAATTATTTTAAATATTACTGACAGAGCAATTCTTCTCTCTCATCCGAATTTTCAAAGGGATAATCTGATTAAGGCTATGCAGATTTTGCTATCTAACGATCACCCTTTGAATCTGACTTTTAAAACGGTTAATAGACGCTTACATCAATTACACAAAAAAAAAAATTTCTTTGGCCTGGGGATCAGACCATGTTTATTATATGTTTTTGGGGTCGCTGAATCCGAATCCGAGGTCCATTAAACCCCATCGGGTCGGAGTTCCGCCATAATCTCAAAAAACACCATAATCT